ACTGTAGTCTCCTTTTCCAGTTCTTCGGCGGCGTCGGTTGGAACTTGCTTTGTTTCATGAGTTGCGCGTGTAGATTTACACACTAAGGCGCTGCTACATTATATTTTGAAGTCACTGAACAAATATCGTTTTGTATTTGAAGGAAAATGCCCCTTGGCAGGTGGTACAACTCCGAGATGACCTAAAAAGGGCAGTTTTTGCGGGAAAGATGTTTTGGCATGCAAAATTAGTATCCCTTCTTTCTGAAAATAAAATAAAACGAGAAACAAATGATGTTGCGAACAACGCATTGCTTGTTCAAAACAAAGTTTCCATAAAATTTCATAAGGAGAAAAAAATCAATAAAAGAAGGCGGAGCTGCTCGAGACGTCGTTGCGTGACATTGTTACTCTAACTGTTAGCTTATGACTTCCTCGCACGAGTCGAAGTGTATCCCGTTCGCAAAAAACCTCCTTCAAAGTAAAATTTCAAGGAAAATGTACCTGCCTATTTTAGATATACCAGAGGCGAATTTAAGATGATACAGATGGATGCTAATACAAGGAAGTTAGGAAAAAAAGAGAGACATGGGACATAGTTTACATAATAGTCCGGCGCTTTTATATAACGCTTCTTCGAGTTCGTTTTTTATTTATTTATTTATTTTTTTGTGAACGGTTAATTACTCTGATATTTTAACATAAACTTTGTCAAAAAACGTTTTCTTGCTTCGTGATGTTTCCGAACATCACATACTGACCCTGAATTGAAACAAAACCGGCTGCCGCAACATTCTTTACAAATTTGACTTATGCAAATTTGTGACCTTTTGCCACTGGTGGTCACGAAACTGTTTATTTTGTAAAGACGAATGCGGAGTGCCCAGATTTTTTATTTCATATTCTGTTAATATAAGAGCTGAATTTTGTCCTAGTATACATTTTGGCTAGGTATCACACATACCAAGGTGAGTTTTTTGCCTCTGAAGTTGCTCATTTTTTACTCATTTTAAAAAGTGCGCTTGGTGGTAGTTTTTAAAAAACCGTAAAAAATTCAAAATCTTGTTTATGGTTTAAAACATACTACGGATAGAAAGAAAAGATAAAATGCTTTTAAACAAAAATATTTCTGTTTTATAGCTTTTAATCTTGCCTCGGTACCGACGCGATAAAGTAGACCATTTTTACCCTAATTCTTGCATAATTAATGAGGTAAAAACCGCTATTTTCGTTTTTCCTCATTTTCTCGAACACTATAGATTCTTGAAAGTTAAAAATATTTTTTTCGAAGATAGTTCCCCAAAGGGGTTTTTCTGACAAATTATCAGAATTTTCGATTTTTTTAGCCTGGCCAGCGATTCTCGATATTTACAGTCATGGGCTCTTAAGAAGTTACAAGCAAAAAATAGTTTTGGCCGCGTTGTTGGAGGGCAAGAGCATGCCCTCGAACATGGCGGCCAATACAAATTATGCTTCTTTGTTGAAAAATCAAGGTGCAATAAATATCTTCCTTAAATTTGGCATCAGCATGAGTCCAACTCATTGTTTAAAGGAAGCACTGGTCACGCGACCTATTGATGGGTGATTTCGCCAGAAATTTTGAAGCGACATGAGCTGTTACGACGTGACACTTAGAAAAAATAAAGCTCTAATGGCTCTTGGGATATATATATATATATATATATATTTTTGTTAGCCTGTTATCTGAAAAGATTTTCAAATTAATGGTCTTGGGGGTATCTATCTATCCAGCCGTTTTTTGCAGATCAAAGCTGAGGTGAATTAGTGTACTGTTTCAATGTTTGCTAGCTCAATTTAAATTGTTATGTAAGCCTTAATCAGGCACTTTTTGACCTCATTTTTCTCAACTTAAACATTTCTTGACTGAAATAATAAAACCGGTTTGAAACCTCACGGAGTCAGAATACTGAATAAATGTTCTAAAATTTGGACTCCGTGAAAATGCTTCTAGGGACCACTAGCTCAGTGCCCGGCGTCCGGGAGAGGCTTTAAATCAGCCTTTGAATGATTTTTGTATTGTTTTAAATTGCCAAGTAGGAAAAAGAGTCGATTTTTTTGCTTACCCGGTTTTAAAAATCCAGGTATATAAAAAAAATGTTTAAACATGAATTTCCTGAGTCCCAACGTCTTGTGTAACACATGAAAGCGAAGAAAGTCATTAGCAACAGGTGACTTAAAATGCATGCTAGTAGTCTAGGGACAGATTTCAAAAAGAGGGCTACAAAAAGGGCTACTTACACTAGAACACAAAAGGTATTATTACAGATTCTAATAGCCAGATACTCGAAGATTGCCTCAGCTGGAGACAGAAATTAAAGCTTCGATATACTTTTTCAACGTGCCAAGGCCCTGCTTGAACTAGAAAAAGAGGCAGTTTGTTCTACGGTCACACATTTGCCATCATGATGGTTTTGCTATAAGCTATTTAAAACAACTATGCAAGAAAAAAAAATGTCATTTTTAACTTAACGAGCTGCATTGCAAAGGTTAAAAAGATCGATGTATTCTGTTGTGGGTTTGGTACTTCGGGCAAGTATTCAACCGAATTTTCAGTTATCGGTTGGGCCTCCTGTTCCTCATTATTAATGATAAGTTGCCGGTAACATTTGGTTTCTCTGCCTCTGGTTCTACTTTTAAGTTGCTTACTGTTGAATCGCTTGACGCTTTGTCGAGTTCAAGCTCTTCTGAACCATCAGCGTTATTTTGCGACGAGACAGACCCATTTTCTTGATTTCCATCGTCAGCAACATCGGATAATTGGAATGCTTCGTTAACGTGGAATATATACTAGTTGGCTCTTGACTGGATTAATACTTAATTCTGTTCTTTTGCGCAAGTGCTGCGCTAGACGGGAGTAGTATACTATGTTGAAACTTAACCCCCTTTGGTGTCTAGCACGGTCTAGCTAGGTCTAGTCTATGACGTCACCGATTGTTATAACCTGGGGAAAAAGTGGATTCCCTTTATTAATATGTACAAGTGTCTTCCTGCATACTAATTTGGATTTCCTGCATAATGAAGTGGATTAGGTTTACTAATGAGCGTCACTCTACTACAATAGGAACAATAGGCTTGCCTACACTTGCCCGGGCTCTTTTAACCCTGATTGGATAGTAAACAATCTATTATGTGTTCAACATAAAAGCGCGCCCTCCGTTCAGCATTTTATTCTTGCAATCGCTTTGTTAAGGAGAACATTTGTCCGAGTTCGCTCGTTTTTAACAACCAATGGACCTTGACTTGATAATTAATGACATTCAAAATAAGCTTTGTTTCTAAAAGTAATAAAATTTGTTTATGTCTAAATTATGAGTCAGTGTGTGTTTGTCTCTGTCTTAGTCAAGATGGGGCTTTCTCTGTCTTTGCTTCGAGTCGACTTTTCTCTGTGTCGCGCACAAGCCAAAGCATTGAAAGTGTCTTCAAGTGAAATGGAAATGCTTCAACAAAAAGTTAAAGATCTGCTAGGTTCGAGTCTAGAAAAGTTGAAAAAACTCCACTCTGAGGTCTTTTCAAAAGTAAACTGGGGACGATTGGTGGTATTTTTGAACTTCGCGGATCAGCTAGAACTAACCGAGGAGGAATGGGAACTATTATTTAATTTTCTCGTGCCCACTCTTACCCAGATTCGAGAGTAGCTATATAAGTAAACACGAAGAAAAAAGAAATCATTCAGCTTTGAACCTTCATAGCAATCACTAGTAATGGGTTGCTGGCCATCTTCACCCTCTCTGGTATTAGAGCGCATTTTCAACCGCATTCGTTGCGTATTAGCCTGTTGCGGGGGTCAAGTTATTGTACAAAATTCCGAGTTCTGTGATGGAGAAAGCACTGACCAGCATTTATCTCGACCCAAGCCAACCCGCAAGTTTCGGTGGTTTAGATGCTGTTTACAGAGCAGTCAAAGAGAAAGGAAAGAACAAGATATCGCGTAAACAAGTTCAAGATTGGTTGAGTCAGCAAGATGTTTATACTCTTCACAAGCCCGCGCGTAGACATTACAAAAGAAGTCGAGTCATCGTTCCCGGTATTGATGCACAATTTCAAGCAGATCTGGTCGACGTTCAAAATCTCAGCCGATACAACAAGGGATATAAATACCTACTGACGTGTATAGATATCTTCAGCAAGTACGCTTTTGTGTTACCTTTGAAGACAAAACAAGGTCAAGAACTGGTCCAAGCCTTTCAAAAGATCCTTTCTACTGGTCGCAAACCTACTAAACTGCAGACGGATCAAGGAACAGAGTTTCTAAATCGCGTGTTCCAGAAATTGCTGCGTGACAACAACATTGACTTTTTTACTGTTAACTCTGGGCTCAAAGCCTCAGTGGTTGAGCGTTTTAACCGAACATTTAAGAATAAGATGTACAAATATTTCACGGCCAAAAACACTCTCACTTATATCAATGTATTACCCCAGTTAGTATCTTCTTACAATAACACCTACCACCGAAGTATTAAAATGAAACCAAGTCAGGTAACTAAAAAGAACGAAGCTCAAGTGTGGGATACTTTGTATGGGGATGATGTTCAAAAGCCTGTGCGATATAAATTTCAAGTGGGAGATCGCGTGAGGATCAGCAAAGTAAAGAGAACGTTTGAAAAATCGTACTTACCTAATTTCACGGAAGAAATTTTTACTGTTTACAAGCGAATGGCTCGTCAAGTCCCCGTTTATAAACTAAAAGATGATGCAGGTGAAATCTTAGATGGCACATTTTATGAGCCTGAATTGCAGAAAATTATTAAGAATGATGATGTGTACCGCGTTGAAAAGATTTTGCGGAAGAGAAAGCGTAAAGGAATAGTTGAATACTTTGTAAAATGGAAAGGGTACCCAGACAAGTTTAATAGCTGGATAGCAGAAAGTAATATCTCAAAGTTGTAACATTTTGTGTGAAGCCAATAAAAGGGTTATCTTAACTGAAAACAATTGTTGTTGTGTGGTTTCTAATAAATTAAGAATACCCAGATTAAAAAGTTCATTTGAACACACGAAACGATGGAGGTAACACAGTTTTATCTGCACCTCCCTAGCAATAGCAGCCTCGATAAATTTCCTCATAACACATTAACAGAGTACCGAGTTAGTTTACCACAAACCCTAAACCTTACAGGCGAATGGGAAGTGGCTTTGACCGAGATCCATTATCCGCATAGCTGGAATAATATTCAACGGTTTCGATTTTACGTTCGAAATGAAAAACTCCACGGTGTTTGGGACTCCCTGGAGATGCTTTCGGGTCATTATTCTTCCATTGAAGATATCTTATCAAAGATGAAAGAGTTAGTGGATAATGAAAATCGGTATACAGATGATGTACGGTTTTCATACGATAATCTCAGCAGAAAGGTTACGGTTCATTTGAAAAACAACGCAGAAGTCTCGTTAAATGATATGGCCTATATGCTGGGGTTCACTCCCGAACAAACTATTTCAAAGACCACCACGGGCGACAGACAAGTGGATTTGGAATACGGTTTTCACGATCTTTTCGTTTACTGTGATCTTATTCAGTCACAATATGTTGGTGATGCACTGGTCCCTTTGCTTCGAATTGTTCCTGTAGAAGGAGAGGTCGGTCAGCGAGTCAGTAAATCGTTTGTGCGCCCTCAATATTTACCTGTCAGCAGAAAGCAATTTGAAACCATCGAAGTCAATATAAAGCGAGACACAGGGGAATCTGTGCCATTTGAGTTTGGAAGAGTGTTGTTAACACTTCATTTTCGTCAGAGTCAACCTCAGTACTTTTAAAAATGAAAAAACTCCACGCCCCAAATCATAAGTTTTACGAACAGTACTATGTAGATCAAGCCAAGCAAAAAGGTGGAAATTTAACAGCATTTGACGGAGCTCGATTTCAGCGAGGTTATGGCTTAGGATCCATATTTAAAGGTCTGTTCCGCTGGGCGATACCTCACCTGCAACAAGGTGCTAAGGTGATTGGAAAAAAAGCTTTACAAACGGGTGTCAATGTTGCCCAAGATGTGCTTGGCGGAGATAACATTAAAACAGCAATCAGCAAACAGGCTAAACAAGCTATAGGTAACATGACGTCCCAGAAGTCACAGCAAGGACAGTCAGGTGCAGGCAAAAAAGCTATAAAAAGGAAAGCGCAAGGCTCAACAATCAGTTCGCCTCCAGGAAAGAAAGCAAAAACATCTCCACAGCAGAAGAAATCGAAAACCATTTTTGATAAAGAATAGAATGGCCTTCGTTCATCACGAGTCTCGCGAGTGTACTAAATCAGAGCTGGATCTTTTTACTATTCCTGCTACACAAACCTCTATTCACAAAGGGCAATGGATTGAATATCATCCTCTCAGCAACATCACGGACACTGGTCCTATTGAATTTAACGTATCTGGAACCGGAGAAGAATATTTAGATTTAGCGCGGACACAACTTTATGTGAAAGCTAAGATCACGAAAGCAAACGGAACCGCGTTAGATGCCGATACACAAGTGGGTCCCGTGAACCTGTTTCTACATTCCCTGTTTTCACAAGTAGACGTTTCCTTGAATGAGCGACTTATATCTGCATCCACTAATACTTACCCTTATCGCGCCATGTTCGAGTCTTTGCTGAACTACGGAGAAGAAGCTAAAACAAGTCAACTTTCTATGGCCATGTTTTACAAAGATACTGCTGGAAAGATGAATGTGGTGAACCCCTTGGCTGCAGACGATGAAGCAAACCTTGGATTAAAGGCTCGCTATGAGTTTACCAAAGAGAGTCATACGGTGGATATGATGGGACCCATTCACAGTGATATATTCTTTCAAGACCGGTTGATGCTCAATGGAGTTAATTTAAGAATCAAACTGAACCGAGCCAAGAATGTGTTTTGTCTTGTGTCCTCAGCAGCCGGAGCTAATTTCAAAGTGGTTATCACAGAAGCCATCTTGTTTGTACGCAGAGTCAAGGTTGCCTCTTCTATCATTCTAGGCCATGCAGCTGGGCTAAAACACTCCAGCGCCAAGTACCCCATTCGCAGAATCGACTGTAAAGTGCTCTCTATTCCAAGAGGATTTAGAAGTTTTAACCCTGACAACATCTTTTTGGGTCAAATTCCCAAGCGCATAGTATTGGGATTAGTGGACACAGAGGCTTACAATGGGAGTTACCGTACCAACCCCTTCAACTTCAATCACCACAATTTAACTCAAGTGGGTGTGTACGTGGACGGAGAACAAATCCCCCGAAAACCTTTGTTCCTGAAGTTTGACGCCGCTGGTGGTCAAAATGTGATAGCCGGCTATCAAAGTCTTTTCTCTGGTATTGGAAAGCTTTCCCAGGATACGGGCAATCAGATAAATAGAAGTGATTACGGCTCCGGTTATACCTTATTCGCATTTGATTTGACCCCAGATCACTGCCCGGGAGATCATTTTGAGCTCATAAAACAAGGAAACCTGCGCCTGGAGCTTCATTTCTCGGAAGCACTCGCCAACACGGTCAACCTTATCGTCTACGCTGAATTTCAAAACGTGATTGAGGTCGACGCAAACCGAAACGTTCTCTACGACTACACAAACTAGAAATGGACACCATTCAACTGACCCTTATTTTGAGAAAGGATAAATTTACACGAGGTGTGTTTCAAGGCGTGTATCCCTCAGACAAGCTGCCTGCGAGTGTTTCGCAATACCCAGCCCTATTCATCGCCAATGTGGATACGAGTGACAAGCCAGGTTCGCATTGGGTGGCGTTTTATTTCGCCAAGGAGCAAGAGGGAGAATTTTTCGATTCTTACGGAGCACCTCCCAGCAAATATTCAGGAACATTTACTACCTTTTTAAACAACAATTCTAACCAGTGGATTTTTAATACTGTGACATTACAGAGCATCTATTCCAAAGTCTGCGGACATTACTGTTTGTATTTTGCTTTATATCGTAGTCGGCAAATAAGTATGAGTACAATTGTGCATCGTTTTTCTAATAACACACGTAAAAATGATAGTCTTGTCAAGCGATTTATTGAAAAACATTTTCCTATAAGTCTTCCGAAATATCGCACTGATGTAAACAAGCAAAGAGCACAAGCCCAACACAAAGTTCAATAAATAAACACCTTGTAATTTCTTTTCAACATCTTTTATTGAGTGAACAAAATAAAAGATGATTTACAATAATAATAATAATAATGTGTCTTGTGGTGATTTTATAACCGTAACCAGCGCACAGCCTCAGGGCGTGGACTCGCATATCTTCGCCGCTGTTTTTTCACTGGGGATACCGTCACAGGTGGGCTAGGTAGCCAACGGGAAGGACTGTTAGGGGTTTCGTCTCTCACTCTTGCTTTAAATTCTCGAACAGCACTTTGCCTCTGTGGATTACGCACTAGACTTTCCGGGACATTCATTCTGGCCAGACCCCTCGCAAACACCGACCATCCTACTGGTTCAAATCCTTTGCGGTGGCGCAATGTGTCGTTGACTAGGTCCACCAGATGAGAACCTGGAATGGGTTTGGTTTCATACAAAAGCTCTCCTTTATCATTCCAATGCAATACATCTTGATGCTCCTTAATTTTATCCAACAATTGTCTAGCCCCGGCTTTGTAAATTTTGGGTACACTTCTCATGACCTCTGCCTCTACGGCTGATGAAGTGAATTTTTCCGGGACAGGTTCTTCCGAAGGTTGTTCATTTTCTTCTGGTTTAGGTGTTTCTACTGCTTTGGGGGTTGATATTTTCACATGAAGAGGTTGACCTTTTCGCTGATCGTAATAAGTCAAGTACCGCTGCAACACTTGATTGTAAAGCCTAGCTTTTTGTTCATCATCAAGTTCTTTACTGGATAAAATATCGGTCATTTCACTATCCAAGTTTCTCAGAGTTTGTGTGACGGGTGGGATTAAAATCTGCTGGCGCTGCTGTAATCTTTCCAAGGTGTTCTCGGGCACGAGAACCATACGCTTTGTGTGATTCATTTTAGGTAAGAATCGAACTTAACACACGGAGAACGGGAGGTAGCAAAACACTTAAAAAATTTCCTCCGTGTTGTACCAACAATTTCTTTTTCTTATCGAGTGGTGTACTTTTTTCGGCTAAGGCGATCAAAGATTTCTTGTGAGGTAAAAGTTTTTTCTTGGCTGGCTTACTGACAGGCACTGTTCCTTTAAGCACGTTTAAAACACACTCACAAATGGTTCTTACTAAAGCGTCGTCTGCCACCTTCAAAATGGCTTTACGCTGAGCTGGTGTACGCTTGACAAGCAGTTTCAGAAAATCGTGGTTCTTTCTAAGTCGCTGTGCCATCCTCAACTGAAGAAATTTGATGTGGTTCACGCTTTTTATACTTTTCTGACGTAAGCGTACTGAGTCTCCCCGGGGAAAATATTCGTACGCAGCCGGAAGTCGGTAGGTGTTTCCGGTTTAAGATCACAAAATAGATATCCATAGGGCCTTTTTGTTGCATTCTCAAACGCTTCTTGCATGTATTTGACATGACCGGGAAACATTTGTCTTGCTAAATGATTGACTTGACTGCTATCACGCGGGCTTTTGAACACTACTAAGTAATGAGAATTCAAACTCATATCTCTCAGTTCTTTTCCACGATGAAAAATGTTTTGGAGAATAAAGATCACGCTGAGATTGCGATGGTGACAGCCCTTGGTAAACAAATTAGTCATTCGCTGATCATTGCTAACCTCGTGCATTAAGTCATCAATGACGACTAAATTCCGCATAGAGGGATTAATTAGGGTTTCCAGATCACCAGGCACTCCTTCAACAAACATAATGTTCGGAATAGTTTGAAGCATCTCATCGTAGGCTGGTTGATACATGCTATAACACCAGATGATATTTTCCGGGGCACCATCAATCATGTCTTCTCCTGCTTCTAGTAAACGTTTTACAAACTGACTTTTCCCACAACATGTTGGGCCGGCCACAAGCGCGGGGAAAGGATGTTTCCATCTCGGGTCCATGATCACAACTGATTAACTGATTTGTGCGTACTCTCATTTATAGAATAATTGTTTTGGGTTCACCCTCCTTGTCATACACACGAATCGCATTGGTATTTTGTAATTTTGCAAATTGAAGCCAATATTTTCGTTCGATTTCCGATAACTCGTGGACTTGAGTTAAATGATTTGCTAATCGAACTAAGAATTTAGAACGACATCCCGGTATGGGGCAGTGTTTACATTTTAGTTTCTGCTTGCTGACAGGACGAATGTTAGATACCAACTGAGTAAAACTATTTGTGACACGAAATTTATCGTTGACTTTCAAGGGCAGATCGGGCAGAAAGGGCAGAAAGGGCATCTTTTTAGCCCTGTGTTTTTTTCCCTGGGCAGCGCGTGGAGATCTCGCGTGTAAGTCGTGCGCGTCGAGTCAGGAAACAAGCCACGATTAAATTCAACCAATGATTTATTTACAAACTAATTTCCTATGTACAAACATCCGTGAAAAGCTAGGCAAAAATACTATTTACAACTAGAGGCGATCTTATACAAATATTTCGGAAAACTATTTTGAGAGTAATATATACGCAAACTTGAGAAAATGAAAATTTTTTACAAAATCCATTTTTTACAAACTTGAAAACTTAAATTTCGAGTGGAGTGGTGCTAACTCCATCAGCCAAAAATTAACGTTTCGGGTAAAAATACGAAAAGGCATCCCTAACTTGCTCATAAGTGTACATAGTATTATTTACAGCTCTGAACCCTCGATTCACCTCAGCACTATTCTGTTTTGTAAGTAAGACATTAAGGTATTTATCTTTGTTAATGTCATTGCATTTCTTGTTGACACCCTTACAACTAAACTTATCTTTGACCCCAAAACAGTAGTAGGTTTTTGAACACAACCCGATAATTCCTTGCCCCTCCCACTCAACCTTAAAAAGACCCGGGGTTCGCTTATCATAGGCTTTATGCTCGGGTGTATCCGTACGGGGAAACCAGTTGCATTTATCAGCTTGGAACTCTGCTTTCAATTCTGGTTTGACTAAACTTTCCACACTCTCCCCAGCAATAGCGATATACGCTGAATCCGTATCCATTTCACACATTTGAAAACCGCTGCGATCGAGATACTTGTCTAAGAAATCATAATAAAACTGCAGCATGCGTAACTTAGCATACTGATACACAAAAAACCCGACTTGAATAGGTAAGTTTAACTTAATAGTTTTCTTACAAGACTCTACTTCATAAGTATCTTCTGTGATATTTTCCAGTTTCCGGAACAGTGGGGTGTTGACTTTTCGGCTGGCCTCTGCGTCACTGCAATACTCCACGTTTCTGTGTTTCAGTTGGTTAGTGATCGTCTTACCATAGCCTGAATTACCCACCTGAGAGATAAACAAAGATATAAGTTTTTTCTATTCGTGAAAATGTATATTGTTCCCACCCCTTTATGAATGAAAAAATGAAACAAAAACTTACCAGTTTCATGGTATCTGCAATGATGGCTTTACTGGGTCCGCATCTCCGGCTCTCCTCGCGTCTGACACCGCATCTCCAAAGGGTTTGAAGCAGGGCTCAGGGGTGAATTCAACCACTTGGTAGACTTTGGTGACTTCCAGGCCGTGTTCTAAGTACCATTTGAGGAGGGGTGTGGCCAACAAGATTTTTTCTCCTTTCATGCTCCCGATCAAGCTTCGCCGAGGCTGAGCCATGATGTTATGCTCTTCTGCGTACGCTTTCATGAAGTCTCCAATATCATCGCGGCTGATTTCTGTGTTCTTGAAGATCGGGCACATTTCACTGAATTTCTCTTTCAAATGCTCAGGCACACGAATATCTACTTCCACGCACCCAAACAAACGCTCATTTCGCACCTCGCTCAATATTCGCTCCGGGCTCATGATCTTGACTTTGTCGAGGGTTCTTCTCACTTCGGTGGCAATAAAACGCCGTAGTTCTCGGTTGGTTCTCTTCATTTCTCTCCACTGACATTCATACATTTCCACCACGTTGTACCCTTTGCTGCGGATATACTCCGTGTTGGCTCTCGTTTCTTCTCTGATCTCAGCCATAGGTTTCTTGCGTTTCTCGTTAAACTCTTTCCCTCGGTTGAGAGCACAGTCATGGCCGTGCCAATAACAGCCGTGAAACTGGTACGCAGTTTGCGTCTGCGCGTTGAAACCGTCTACAGGCAGTTTACGACCACCGATGCGCTTTTCTGTATTGTTTAACTGATGTCGGATGTGAATTCCCTCTTTGTGCGCCACCCATTTCCAACCATTCAATAGCCATGCGTACAGAACTTTTCGGTTTGAACTCATTGTCCGCCAGGCGTCTCGTATAACTTCCCGTGGGCATATCTTGCATGAGCGCCCAGAGGTACAAAGCGTTCGCGTCATAACCCACGATCTTCTCACACAGCTTAGCAGCCTCGCCTTCCTCCGCTTCTCTGATCTTTGTTTTGCCGGCTTCATGATATCGGTGGAAAATAATACTTGGGCCGCCCGTGTTGTTGTCTTTGATCAGATGGTAGAGATCACTGTTCGCTTGATCGAAGAGACTGAAGTAAGTTTGAGGTGAAAGATAAGAGAAGAGGTACTTGAGGGTTAAACCAGGGACAGAAATTCCATCTTTAAACATATCGATCTTTCTCTCCTGCCAGAACTGACTCATTTTTCTACTGCCTCGAGGAAAGGAACGACATCCAAATTATTGTACCAGATTAAGAACTCTTGAAAGGTGGACATTTCATTTTCTTCCCATACTTGCTGGCAGTACTCATATTCTTCTTCTGTAATGTTTTGGTTCTTCAGACTTGAGTAGAAAGCTTCATGCGAGGGCAGAGATGTTTCTTCGAGCTTGTCCAGGCTGTCGATCCACTCGTAAGGGAAGAAACCTTTGGTCTGTTCGCACTCGTACGCTTTCAGGAACTGATCGTAGCTGAACCCTGGAGCGAGATAATTAGAGATGTCCAGAAACTTTAAAGAGTCTGTCTTGATACACATATGATTATTATTCCTTTTCACAGTAAACTTGACGGGCTGATGCTTGATGAGGTACGGGAACAGGAATTCTTTGGAGGCATTCAGGTCGTACTTGCCAGAGTTGAAGCCTAGCACGGGCAGTTCTTGTATATAGGCGTTCAGTTTCTCCTCTAGTTGACTGAGGACTTTGTGGTCACTGACGTCCTCTGAACCACCTACAATATCTTGTAACTCTTCTAACTGGTCCCGCGTCTGTCTCAGTTGCTGTCTTCTTTCTCTGTCCACTTCAACGTTCAATCTTCTATAAAAGGAGACGTCTTCCAGTTCTTGTATTTCATCATCGAGAAAAGCGCGGTCTTCTTCATTCTCCGGTTCAATTTCTTCTTCTTCATCTTCTTCATTATCACTCGCCATTAAATCAATGTCGCTACTTTGATCTTCGCTCTCTTCTTCCCTGTCAAATTCATTGTAATTCTGACTGCCCTCCTGGATGTCTACCAGAATTTGCGCTAATCGGTCTTCGTGGGATTCACTGTTATTCGGGCCTCTTGCGGTTTCAAGAGCTTCAAATACTTCTGCGTACCTTTGGCGGAGCAGGGATGAACTTTTGGTGCTAATCTTTGTGAGGTACTGCACAAACTCTTCAAGAAGTAAGTCTGAATCTCCCTGTGACACGAAACATTTGGGTGCTTGGTAACCAGGCACATTACTGCAGACGCTCACACTTAAGGGCACATGGGCGGATTGCCAGGTTAACTTTTCAGTGTTCTTTAATTCTTGCGCTTTCTCGTTATCAAAGTAACATTCAAAATCAAAGGTGGTGCGTTAAGGGAAGTACCGCCATTCTTCTGGTACGACAATACCTTCGTCTTCTAATTCTTCAAAGATAGTTTTAGGGACATGATACGCGCCGCCAGGATACTTGAGCTGGACTTTACCGTCACAGGTTTTCTCATGACGCTGACATTTCCACATATCTTTCCAGTACTTGCCGCAGCGAGAACAGCAGAAGGATTTACTGTACCGGGCCAGGTCTTTAATATACGAGAAATGGTTTTCGTACAAGTTCAAGTAAAGCGTGCTGGAGTAGTGGCGGTGAGAGCGGCGAAGCAGGGTGGCGGCAATCTCGGGAGTATTTTCTTCATTGTCTTCGTCTTCACTGTGGCTCTGAGTAGGCGCGAGACTGTATACTTGAATATTCACTTCATACAATTTTTCTAGGTCGTCCAGTTCACTTATCTTGACACCATGGAACTTCTTTTTTCCTAACTCCGCGTCTCGGTACTGTTGGTAATAGTACTTGGTATCTCTTTCTAAATTCCTCGTGTGGCAACCATTGTGGAGAGCCAGACAGCGGAAGAAACACAGATTATCTTCGTAGGGTTTACCGGTTTTCACATTATTTTCCAGCGCGTCAAGACCGTAGTTGTCGGCGATATAACCTGGTAGATATTTGCCACGGCCGATCGGGTGATCCCTGATCTTCCAAACAAACCAGGTCACATTCGTGATGAGATCCACCACCCATTTACTGTTAGGTCGCTGCTGCCGCACCCACTCCAGGAAATCGATCTCCGCTATCTGCTGATATAGGCGCTCTAAATCGTCTGGACTTGAAATCAGGAACGGTTGTTCTAGCACCAAATGGTTGTTCGCAGAAGGGTGGTGGTACTGGAGGACGCCAGTTTCTGTATTACGGAGAATAAAACCAAAGGAAAAGTTCACTTTAAACACAGTAGGCTGGTCAGTAAAGATCCTCCTCAGTTGTTCGCGGAGAGCGGTGGGACTGATCGTGGACAGGCGGAAATTATACCAATCTTGTAAACGGTTACGGCGACTAAATCGGGTCCGGATTTGAGGCCAGTGTTGTCTGTACGTTTCTGCTATATTCTGTTCTGTAGCAGGAACAAGGTTGGCGGGAATAAGCACGGGATCCGCTTCCCAACTGGAACCAGCAGCAGATGCTTGAGTGGGAGTTGGTTGTTCTGACGCTGTTCTCGCACTTGCTTGGTCCGACCTCTTAGATCTTTTCGCGGACGGAGCATCTGTAGTTTTTGGAGCAGTGCGTTTTCTAGTTGCAGCGGCGGGTTGTTGATGAGCGGTGCGAATATGAGCGTTGTAGGGGGCGCGGTTGTGAAAGGTTTCGCCACAGGTTGCGCAAGTAAACGTCCGTTCGGCAGCTTGTTTGTCGTGCGCTTTCAGGTGACGATTGAGAGCCGACTTGTCAGCAAACTTGTTATCACAGCGGTTGCATTCGTACGGTTTCTCACCAGTATGGGTTCGTACATGGGTTTTAAGATTTCCTGAACGAGAGAAGGTCTTGCCACAAGTGTCACAACGATATTCTTTACGAGGCTTTTTGGCTGGTGGAGGCTGACCATCCCCGGATTGAATTTCCTATAATTAGTAAATATGACCTGGTCTTAGTGTAAAGCTCAACTAACAAGAAACTCTGATAAACTCTATTTGTCTACAATGAGCGTCTCAGCAACTGGGTAGATGGTTTGTTTTTGATGTTGAATCAACAGAATAAATTTAAATTTTATGTGTCGATCCACGACATAATTGACTTTTAGAGATAAGCGCGCGGGTAACATAACGAGCCGCACCGTCTTAGCAACCAAAAAAATTTTGTTTATCAAGCTGAGATAGGGGACTAAAAGTCCCCTATCTCAGCTGGATACTCAGAAGCTTGTAACATTCACTATTCCATTTATCTCTGATCATATTTCCCATCTAATACGACAGAGGCGTCAATTTTCGCGCCATCATGTCATCATTCTAGGGCGAGAAATTTAATTAAAGCGCGGCATTCAACAAATGTACGGCTCAAGTTTCGGCTAAAATTATTCAGTGCCGTCAAAGAAAAAAGCATATTATTAAGGTCTGCGTATAAAGTCGATCACATTGCTAACACAGACAAAAACGCTTAAATATCTCCTACAAAATGAACGGCTGAGTTTGTTTTTTCTACGGGTCAAACTGCTACTATATATCCCAGAAGCGCTCAGGCATAACAATATGCCAGGACTTCTACCTGGATGAACCAGAAAGGATATAGAACAACTACCTATCTTTTTTTCTTTTTACGGCTACGGGTCGAAATGCTAAACGTGTTATATATCCTAGAAGCGCTCAGGCATAATGATATCATGCCAGGACTTCTACCTGGGTGAACCAGAAAGGATATAGAACAACTACCTAACTGTAACTGCATCTAAAGAATAATTTCGAGAAAGGGCCGTGTAAACCGCGACGAATGATTCCTGACGCTCAGGCATAATAATATGCCAGGACTTCTACCTGGATGAACCAGAAAGGATATAGAACAACTACCTATCTTTTTTTCTTTTTACGGCTACGGGTCGAAATGCTAAACGTGTTATATATCCTAGAAGCGCTCAGGCATAATGATATCATGCCAGGACTTCTACCTGGGTGAACCAGAAAGGATATAGAACAACTACCTAATTGTTTTTTACGGCTACGGGTTTAAATGCTAAACGTGTTATATATCCTAGAAGCGCTCAGGCATAATGATATCATGCCAGGACTTCTACCTGGGTGAACCAGAAAGGATATAGAACAACTACCTAATTGTTTTTTACGGCTACGGGTTGAAATGCTAAACGTGTTATATATCCTAGAAGCGCTCAGGCATAATGATATCATGCCAGGACTTCTACCTGGGTGAACCAGAAAGGATATAGAACAACTACCTAATTGTAACTGCATCTAAAGAATAATTTCGAGAAAGGGCCGTGTAAACCGCGACGAATGATTCCTGACGCTCAGGCATAATAATATGCCAGGACTTCTACCTGGATGAACCAGAAAGGATATAGAACAACTACCTATCTTTTTTTCTTTTTACGGCTACGGGTCGAAATGCTAAACGTGTTATATATCCTAGAAGCGCTCAGGCATAATGATATCATGCCAGGACTTCTACCTGGGTGAACCAGAAAGGATATAGAACAACTACCTAATTGTTTTTTACGGCTACGGGTTTAAATGCTAAACGTGTTATATATCCTAGAAGCGCTCAGGCATAATAATATGCCAGGACTTCTACCTGGATGAACCAGAAAGGATATAGAACAACTGCCTAAATTTTTTTTTACGGCTACGGGTTGAAATGCTAAACGTGTTATATATCCTAGAAGCGCTCAGGCATAATGATATCATGCCAGGACTTCTACCTGGATGAACCAGAAAGGATATAGAACAACTGCCTAAATTTTTTTTACAGCTACGGGTCGAAATGCTAAACTTGTTATATATCCTAGAAGCGCTCAGGCATAATGATATCATGCCAGGACTTCTACCTGGGTGAACCAGAAAGGATATAGAACAACTGCCTAATTGTTTTTTACGGCTACGGGTTGAAATGCTAAACGTGTTATATATCCTAGAAGCGCTCAGGCATAATAATATGCCAGGACTTCTACCTGGATGAACCAGAAAGGATATAGAACAACTGCCTAAATTTTTTTTTACGGCTACGGGTCGAAATGCTAAACGTGTTATAAATCCTAGAAGCGCTCAGGCATAATGATATCATGCCAGGACTTCTACCTGGATGAACCAGAAAGGATATAGAACAACTGCCTAAATTTTATTTTACGGCTACGGGTCGAAATGCTAAACGTGTTATATATCCTAGAAGCGCTCAGGCATAATGATATCATGCCAGGACTTCTACCTGGATGAACCAGAAAGGATATAGAACAACTGCCTAATTGTTTTTTACGGCTACGGGTTGAAATGCTAAACGTGTTATATATCCTAGAAGCGCTCAGGCATAATGATATCATGCCAGGACTTCTACCTGGGTGAACCAGAAAGGATATAGAACAACTACCTAATTGTTTTTTACGGCTACGGGTTGAAATGCTAAACGTGTTATATATCCTAGAAGCGCTCAGGCATAATAATATGCCAGGACTTCTACCTGGATGAACCAGAAAGGATATAGAACAACTGCCTAAATTTTTTTTAACGGCTACGGGTTGAAATGCTAAACGTGTTATATATCCTAGAAGCGCTCAGGCATAATGATATCATGCCAGGACTTCTACCTGGATGAACCAGAAAGGATATAGAACAACTGCCTAAATTTTTTTTTACGGCTACGGGTTGAAATGCTAAACGTGTTATATATCCTAGAAGCGCTCAGGCATAATGATATCATGTCAGGACTTCTACCTGGGTGAGCCAGAAAGGTTATAGAACAACTACCTAATTGTTTTTTACGGCTACGGGTTGAAATGCTAAACGTGTTATATATCCTAGAAGCGCTCAGGCATAATAATATGCCAGGACTTCTACCTGGATGAACCAGAAAGGATATAGAACAACTGCCTTTTTTTTCTACTCGTCGAAGTTCTAAACGTGTTATTCTTAGAAGCGCTCAGGCTTAATAATATGCCAGGTTTCCAGCGACTGATTTTAGCTGATTTTGCGGTGCGCAAGAATGGATAATTTACCCGACTTGTAAACAGATATTTCCTTCAGCCGATTGTGTCTCATGCAGGAGAATGTCATGTCTGCGTTGTTTTGTTTCTACTGAAGTTTTATCAAAGAAAGCTTAAGCGAAAATAGGGAGATCGCAATTTATACTCTTACGAACTATAAATTAGGGCTGACCTGGAAGACGCGTTGAATTGTGCCGCCATCCTTCAAAATATAACCTGGCTGCGTTTAGGGAGACAATTTCCTCTTCCATCCAGATGTACTTGGTATATGTGTTTGCGCGAATCTTCAGACAAAGAATTGGGTATACACTGATTCGAATGGCTTGGCGATACTAAGTGCTTAAGTCTACTTACCGATTACAACATGTTTTGGAAGTATTGAGAAGCGCGCCAAACGAAGTTGTCACAGCGTTCTCGAGTGAACACGGCGCGACCTGGATTGATAAAAATTACCATTACATGCAGGTATCATGCCAGTGATATCTCCTTTCGTCGCATAGTGAATAGTTTGTGAGCACATCCTCGACTCTCGAAACATTTGTCTTGCGCCGCTATAGAAGTTGCTTCTCCCGCGAACCATAGGTAGATTTCCCGCTTAACATAATGTTTCATAATTTATGCAAAAGTTGGCCTCGTGAAAGTCAGCAGTGCATTAATCGACTCCAAAATAAACAGACACGGTTTTAATTAAAGTACTTTACGAGCGCTGCGGTAGTTGACCGCAAAAGTGTTACGGTGATGGATACTCAACGGGATGATTACGTCACTTCATAGCAACCAGACGGTACGAATTTTTTAACTTCCGGAGCGCTGAGGCTCGTAGTGATTATAACTCTGCTATATTGCTATAATCAACTACTTAGTGGAAATAGCTTAAATTGCTCTGATATCTGTTTGAGTATATATAATACGCTGTCTATTTTCTTCAACTCGGCTTGATGATTGAAGAATATTAGTACATTGAGCAAATGCTTTGTTTTGATTTTCAACAAAACAATAGAATAGATTTCAATATGGGTGCATTCATCCGCAAAAACGAATTCACTTTGGGAGAAGACAATATTTGATCAGTGAAGAGCGGAATCGATAACTGAGAATAAACTATTTACGCCTTCAAAATCATAAATAGTAAGCCAACTTTTATTTTCTTCTGACTCTTAGGAATGAATGATGTTGTCTTTTTGGGTGAGCCTAAACAATTTAATTTTCAAAAAACTTTAATGGGAACGTTTGCATTCAGCGTATTCTAAACAAGTAAACATGAAAGATGACTTACGGTTTCCGACGGGTTCCAAGTGGGTAATTCACTGGTTTCGCCAGTCCACTGAAAATGAACAACAGAAATATACACATGAGTGATTGAACAATTAATAGTGTAAACTTAATTCCGTGAAAGAAAAATAATTTTATGATCATGAATGCTTACCTGATCAAAAAAATTATCCCGTGTATCTTGCGCTGATAACGGTGCCGACTCGTTGTTATTCTAGATAAGAAGAGAAGAAATCAGATTACTTTAGGTTTTGAAATCTCGCTCATTTTAAAGAAATAGGTGGGCATTGAACGAATAAGGAGATTCGTAATGTTGTTTCATCACTAAACAATTCATGTACGTTGCGTATTAAAAAGGAAATGGAGTTACCTTGTCTAGCGCCATACGTTCCATCTCATTTACAGCCTGCATTTCTTCAGTTGTAAACTGTAAAGCAAGGAAACATATTCGATGAGTATTATATGACAACTGTCTACAAAAAGTTGAAGCAAATCGAGTTTGGAGTCCTTTTGTTTCTTTAACGAGGATAACAAAAGATACGCGATCTAGTTTAATAGATCAAATGCAAATCTAACCCAAGTCGAGTCTATTAACATAACCAACATAAATGATGCGTGAACTTTTTACACTTCGTGACATAACATATTGGAAAACTTACCGAATCGCTCAGTAGATCGTTGACTTCATCACTACCCGTGTCCTGATTGATTTCAGTCTGTGGGAGAGAACGTTAAGTAAAGATTAGTGAATACTCGTTATTTCAACGTACAAATTAAACGCAAACCGTCATCAGGAGAGAACTCAGAGACGAAATAGAATACTTACCGGTATCTCTTGGGCTGTGAGTTCCGAGCCGAGCATACGCCATTGGGATCCACTCATCGGGTATCAAAATAGATTCCAGCAATAATTCCCAATCGTGGGTCGAGGAACAACCACCCAAAAGAGCTTGAAATTCGCGAACGTTGGTAATAAAAGCCATGATGTTCAAAAAGAGAATAAAGGTTTTCTGAAAACGAGCGAACTCGGACAAATGTTCTCCTTAGTAAAGCGATTGCGAGAATAAAATGCTGAACGGAGAGCGCGCTTTTATGTTGAACACATAATAGATTGTTTACTATCCAATCAGGGTTAAAAGAGCCCGGGCAAGTGTAGGCAAGCCTATTGTTCCTATTGTAGTAGAGTGACGCTCATTAGTAAACCTAATCCACTTCATTATGCAGGAAATCCAAATTAGTATGCAGGAAGACACTTGTACATATTAATAAAGGGAATCCACTTTTTCCCCAGGTTATAACAATCGGTGACGTCATAGACTAGACCTAGCTAGACCGTGCTAGACACCAAAGGGGGTTAAGTTTCAACATAGTATAATACTGACGGGTACCCAGGCAATGATGGATAAAGACGGGATGCTGGTTTATCCTGGATCGGGTTAACAGTTGCATTTATCTCATGCTGAATTTTGTTCGAAGAGGACGACCTGACACCCGTCTTAACCCTCAATAATCGTTGTCGCAGTTGCTTAAGCTCCCTACTTTCACGTCGCGGTCGACTGCAATGAAAGCTAGAAAGTCAAAATGTACATAATTATAAACCTGATGAACGTGAAAAGTTGTCGTTTAAGGTCTAATAAACCTAGTGCCTTTCTGTCATTTTTGTTCACGTCTCCGTCTGCGTTGCCTTAACTCTTAAAAGCGAGAACTCAACGAGAACGTAATTAATATAAAGGGAAAGTAAATAAAATGGCTATTTATATTACTGCAGTCGAGCGATATACCTATGAAATGAAGAACAACATTTCTAAAGATTCAAGTCGTAAATCACAGCATAAAACTTTTTAAAATTTTTATCGACTTTAGAGCCCGCCGAGTTATTTCATTTTACTTATTTGTTGTTGTTAATGTCTTTAATTATCTATCATTAAAAATTGTCGTCATCTTTGTCAAGTTTGGGATCTTTAATAATTAGGAACTAATCTACTAACACCTTTAATGAAGATCTAAAATGGCTTATAATGAAACATTTTGCTTTGCCGTTAAGATTACTTGACTTTGTGCCACCAGTAACCATAACAAGTAACCAAGGTCTAAAGTGTTCTTGAGCAGCAAAGGTAAAGAGGAGAGAAATGCAGAGAGCAAAAACAAAAGGCTTACGACTTAGTTTGACAAAGTACATAAATTGCTGCAGATTCAAGTGATTATTAAAAGCAAAAACTGAGAAATCTATCTGCTAACTCAGAGACAGTTTACCTGACCGCCGCCCGGTTAGCTTAAATGGATAAATAAGCGCCGGTCTGCCGTGTCGGGAGGTCAAGGGTTTAAACCCTGCGCGGATCGACACTCAGGGTCCTAATATAACTGAAAAAGAGTGTGCTGCCGTTGTTCTAACACCTACATCTACATTCAAAAATGTTTAGACATTCTTATTTTCTCAGACATGGACGAAAGACCGTAGGCCCAGTCTCTTTCGCAGCTGACTGATTCTCGTGAAGATTAGAGGATATAAGCCCTGGTAGACAACCCTTCACGGGCTGGGTGGATATCGGTTGACACGCATGCGCAAGTCCTGTATCGAAGGTCATTCGAGACGAGACCACAACGTAAGACTGAGAAAGATAATGCATTTAATCATAACTATTGCGAAGTTCTCAATTCTGATTGGCTATCAGCTCTCCAGATTTCAGCGCTAGCATTATAGGTCAGTGTAATAGTACATGACGACTAGGCGTCATGCCTAAGTACGCGCCATCACGTGCACACACTCGCACTCAAATGTGTGTGTGTGTGTGGTTTTCTTTTTCACTGCTAGCAAAAAATCTGGGAATATATTGCGTTAATTTTAAGACAGCTTTATCAAAAATTTTGTTGTAGTTATGTTTAATTGGCAACATAACTTCGTCAGTCGTCCAATCCGGTCTGTACTTACACTCGCGATTAAACAAATCGGGCTACCGTTGTCTGATTTGTTGGGCGTCCGTTGGTGTTGCGATTTGTTTAATCATTCGTATGATTAAAGGCCGAATTGGACTCCACTGAGTCCTAACAAAGAAAAAAAAAAAAAAAAAAAAAACAAGTACAATAACAGGGGAGCTTTTTTACTTTCATCAACAATATGAAAACAAAGAAGCATTTCATTGCAAATTGAATGTATATCTATAAAAAATGCCTTAACGTTACTAATTGTTTTAAGCACTAATTTTACTGTAACTGGTTGCACTGTTGCTAATATTGTAAGCTGAAATGCAAAGAATAGCCATAAGGTTGTGTTTACAAATAACTGGGCTCATTTCCTGACGCCTTTAGTGAGTGCACCGTGAAACTATTATTACCAAGAGAAGTAGCATACGAACCATTCATAAGAGTTGTTGGGTGCTACTAAAAACTATTGGTAGCTAGCTTAAACAATCCATGGTAAATGTTCGCATTCTTACTCGGAGGCGAAAGTTCTTATCGGATTGTATGAAACAAGCCTCGCCGTTTTACTCTCTTAGAAAACTCTACATGTAGAAAAATGAAAGCTTTGACCTACTCTTCAAAACCCCGTCCACACTAATGCCTTTTCGTTTGTAAACGCATAAATTTTGATGCTCTTCGGCCTTCCGTCCACACCGATACGCTGAGCATTTTCATCGAAAGTGGATCAAAACGCATGGATGTCGTAGAAGTGTGGACAGTTAAAAACGGTCGAAAACCTAACAAAACGAAAACGATGCCCGAAAATATAGCAGGCGCGTGTGTTGGTAGCATGCGCATAGAGTTCAACTTACGTCACAACTTGCAGTTCTATCGCTTTCGAACGTTTCAAGTAATCAACGGAATGTTCAGTCTTTGGTTGGGACTCCTGTTCCTCATTACTAGTGTCGGCTGATGACTGTCCTGCAACATCTTGTTTCTCGTCCTCTGGTTGTACTTTTAAGTTGCTTACAGGTGAATCGTTTGACGCTATGTCGGGTTCAAGCTTTTCTGGGCCATCAGCGTCATTTGGCGACGATTTGGACCCATTGTCTTGATTTCCATTGTCGGTAACATCGGATTCTTGGAATGCTTCGTTAACGTGGAATACTCGTTGGCCCTTGACTGGATTATAACGGAGTTCTGATTTACTTGGTTTAGCATCATTAGTCTTTTCCGCAAATGCTACGCTAGACGGTTCCCCAGACAATGATGGATAAAGGCAGGATGCTGGTTTGTCGTGGATCGGGTTAACAGCTGGATTTTCCTCATGCTGAATCTTGTCTGGAGAAGACGAACTGTCATCCTCACTTATATCCTCCACTTCCACAGCTTGCTCAACAGCATGAATGTGATCGACGTGGCCTCTAGAAACAGTACTTACAGGCCCCTTATGTGCGGCATCACGGTGCTCTAATTCTTCTCGGCTCGCCACACGTCTGTTATGACTAAACCTGGATAAATGCAATTTGATAATCAATAAATAATTACATATTTTATTTTCAGACCACATTCTCCACTAAAAGCAAACGATAAACGTAAACAGCATTAGAGCGCGTTAGTGAAAAAACAAAAAACAGGCGCGAAACTAGAAGTACCTGTCAGTCTTTTTGCATCCGATCAGAACGGCAGCAATTATGATTAAGAGCAGTCCACCACCCACCGACGCCCCAATAATAACGTTGGTTGTTTTAGACTTTCCGTCGTTTCCCTTGTCGCTTTCCTCGTCTTTCTGTTGCTCTGTGCCGGATGGGAAAGGATCGACACTTGAGATTTTACCTCCAATAGATGTTTCAATGTTATCTTTATGGCCCATCACGATTTTATGTAATACCGTCTCAGGGACAATACTGCTTTCCGAAATTCCCTGTGGAAGACTCAAGTAGAATGCCAGTAAGACTACTTCAGGAGGATCGTCTGACCGTTTGGGATAACCAGGAAGAATGTGAACCATGTCAGCCGTAAATGTGACGTTTACAGACGAGCGCCTTCGTCTAAAAAAATATGGATAACATACATGCAAATAATGAGAAAATAAAAACGAAATAATATAAAGGTAAGATCATGGAAAAGTAAAGATTAACAAACTGACTCAAATAATTATGATGATAATGACGACGACGATGATGATGATGAAAACGAAGATGACAATGATGATGATGATGATGACCGATAAAAGGATAAAGTTTTTTTAGCGGAGCTCTCGCTCGCGAACAGCGCGCAGCGAAGCACCATGGGTAAGAAAATGTGGTAAACTACCCATCGGAGAAAATTTGGTAAACACGTGACCGTACACCGACCGCCCGACCGTCCGTCCGCACCACAGGCATACACCTGCACCTGCATCTGCACTTATCCCGTAGTCAATGACCGTTGGGGCGCCACAGACATTGCAACCCTCTCCCTCCAATTTATTTCGTTCTTAGCTTCTCTTACGGCGTGGCGACACTTCAACCCTGTCCATTCAGCGATGTTGTTTTCTTTTGTCTGCCCCTTCTTCTCTCTCCTTGCAGTGTTCCTTGTAAAATCGTCTTGGCAAGCCCTGATGATCTTGATACATGTCCAAACCACTTTAACTTGCGTTTCTTTACCGTGGTTAAGGTATCATCATAGGGCCCAATGGCTTGCCTGATTCTGTCTCTGACTGCGTTGTTAGTGATGTGATCTCTGTATGAGATGCCAAGCAGTTTCCGAAAGCATCTCATGTCAGTGGCCTGCAATTTCTTCAGGATGTCCGCTGTCAATGTCCAGGTTTCGCAGGCCTGCAATAGTACAGAGATAACTAGGGAGCGCATTAGTCTGATCTTCGAGCTTAGAGAGATATGCTTATCACTCCAGATGGTCTTCAGCCTCGCTAGTGCTGCTGTTGTCTGTGCGATTCTGGACAGTACTTTAGGCTTGGAACCCTGATCTGTGACGGCTGCGCCC